ATATAGATAGTAGTAGTAGTAGTAGTAGTAGTAAAGTAGTACTAGTACTAATGTTAGTGCTGGTGCTGGTGCTGGTGCTAGTGCTAGTGCTAGTAGTAGCGGGTGCTGGTGCTGGTGCTGGTGGCGGCGGCGACGGTGGTGGTGATGGTGGTTGTAATTGTTGCTGCTGTTGTTGGTGCTGCTGCCAGAAACCCTAAAGCTTCAACCCTAAAACCTCAACCCTAAGCAGGAGCGTGGTGATGCGAAGCAGCTCAGAAGGCGAAATTGTGTGGGGGAAAGGGCCGGGAAAGGGGTTGAGGTTTTGGGGTTGTACAGTGAAACGATTTAGGATTTGGGGCGTCGGGTTTAGGATTTAAGGTGTAGGGGATTTAGGACACGGGGTTTCGGATTTGAGTTTAAGCTTAAGGTTTAACAGATAAGTGGGAATCAGGGTTTGGAGTTTAAGGGCTTTGGGGTCTAGGATTCAGGATCTTGGCTTTAGGGCTGAGAGCACCGGCGCCGCATGGAGAAGATCATGTGTTTTGAGTTTTCAGTAGTAGCAAAATTCGCCCATACCTTTCCGAAACTGCTCAACCACAAAATCCGAGACTGCTCCACAAAATCCCGCAACATGTTCGGAACCCCGGCTCTAAATCCCGAACCCTGCGACCCTGACCCACTAATGCCGTAACATTTGGGTCAGTTCCAGGTCCGCTCTTCGACAAGGCGATGGAAGGCAGGGCCGCGCTGCTCTCCTCGGAACATCGTGTGCTTCGGTCATGTGAGTACGGCTACTTGTTCCCTGCAATGTGGGTCTGTTTCCCAAGCGCAACAAGCACGCTATCTGCGGTGCTTTCGATCTCTTGCAACAGCTTCTTCTGTTGTACTTCCCCCTGTCCGCCTGAAGCAATGTCTCTTAGCATTGTTGTCAGTCAGCGTTGTTATTATTACTGGTATAATTATAGGAGCAGCACTCTTCTTACTTAAGCCCTAAACCCTGAACCCTTATGGTTGCTAGAAGAGCGACAATCGGGATGGGGTCCCCGGCCGTTCAAAGAAACGTGGGCGGGAGTCATGGAACCTTCCCGGTTTCAGGGTTATGATTAAGGGTTATGGTTAAGGGTTTAGAGTTTAGTTGTTTTGGGGTTTTGGGCGTAGGGTCTAGGGCTTGCACAGGTATTATCGGAGCCTGAACAGCCAGGAAGATCCTTCCTGACGTGGCTTATCACAACCCTAGTACAGTATACCACCCAGAGCACAATCAGGGCCATAGGGTTCAGCCGCTCGCGTTTTTGTTTCCGTGAGGCATGGGAAACAAGGTGTCGCAGAAAAGCATCGTCATGGGAGACGATACCATGTACGATGAGACTTTGGCTGGACAATACCATGTAGGACATAGTTTTACATATCATTATACAATGCATACTCGGTCATTATCTAGTGTATAACATAGTACAATATGTTCACGGATCGCCGTTGCGGTGCACAGTTATTGTGATCCTCATTCTCCTCGTGGCCCAGGTTTGGATTCAATATGTCTGTTCAAACTGAAGGCAAACTCTTGCGGAGTCGACATTGATATCCATAAGGATAGTCCAGGCATGTGAGATTTCCCTCACCTTCATGCTTTACCACGGAAGGGTTTGTTCAGCTCCATGAGCTATATAGCTGGTTCCGCGTTTTCTATTCTGACCCATGCACACTCGATGCGCTATGAAGTTATCCGGTTTACAGCAGTCGGGTAATGTAGACGCCAGAATAGTTACTTACTAATCCTAAACCCTAAACCCTGAACCCTAACCCGCCCAAAAAAAGCGTCCCAGTTGGTCAGGCCCCTCTACTAAAAGACCCTCTAAAACAGCTGTCAAGCCCTATTCCAACTACAGAAGCCGCTGAACCCTCAACGATACACCTTAAACCATTTACCTGCAAGTTTAATGATACTTGTTCGAACGAGAAAGCCCCGTATAATAGCCCTAAAACTTAAGCTCCAAACCCCTAAACCCTAAACGCTCAAAAAAACCACAAACCCCTTTTTTGATGTCATGACCGAGGATGACGGCCGGCCCCTTGCCGTGCAACATCGTAGGACTCACATCCTGTGCCCTGGCAGCAGGCAAGATGGGGGTCCCGGTTTCTTTCAATTTTGTTTCTTTAGGGTGCAGGGTTTGGGGTTTAGAGCAGCACAAGAAACAAGACTGGTGCCAGCATTGTCCAGGACCAGTATGATCAAGCCCGACCGGGCAGGTACCTTCAGCTTCTCTCGCCAATGAAACCCTAAACCCCTAAACCCTAAACCATAAACCGTATCTTTTTGTGTATCAGGGTATGCCTTTATGCACACGCCCGTGTAGTCCTTTCTCGCTGCCTGCTTCTGAGTGCATGCACTGTCAGTTGGTGCATCTACAACACAGTAGTAGTAGTAGTAGTAGTAGTAGTAGAAGAAGTAGTAGTAGTAGCAGTAGCAGGAGTAGGAGTAGTAGGAGTAGTAGGAGGAGGAATAGGAGTAGGAGTA